TGTGAACAGCAAACAGCTTTAACCTACTCTGGCTGTAGTAAAGGGATTCTGTGAGTGTTTAGACCATAATCTGCATATTAGTACCTTTTATCATTTATTTTTAAATGAGTTAGTATAAATAATTTAAAATACACGTGCAATACCAGGACCAGTTCAAAAACGTTATTTTATTCGTTAATTTATCATCTAATACGATAATGTAGCTTTCGGTTTTTCTTTTTAATCTTCAGTTTTAATTATAAGTAACCTCGTGTCCATTAAACAAGTGTGCCTGAGAGTAATACTTTCAGATTTCAGAATGTTCTGCCTATCACTTAAATATCACATAAACCAAGACATAACCAAAGACCAGCCTGTGTAAAAGTGGAGAGACAACGACGAATACAGTTTTAAAAATTATCATATAAATAATGGTTTAATTTAATATTTTTAACAACTAAAAGGAAACACCCAGAAATAAGTCTTATTAAGCGAGGGCTCCAAGCTACTGCTATAGGACCAGACAAATGATAACATATATCATTCAGATGAGTGGCAATTAAATGAACAGATGTCCACAAGCTGCTAACTTCCATAAAATGTAAATATACCACTTTCCAGAGTAATACGCCGAAATTCACCAAGGCTATGATACTCCATTTCTTTTGTTTTTTTTTTTCTTTCCTTTCTCGTATCAAGCACACGCATAAAAGAAAATTACTGCATTCGATAGGAGCCGACTGCAGAACAGTACATTTTCACGATACTCAACAGAGAAACAATCACATTGGAAATCTCTCGGTTTTTGGTGAATTGGGTTGAGGATTTTCCTGACTTCATAGTTCTTGGAACGTTTGTCTTAATTTTTCATCTCTGGCTAGTCAAAACACATGAAAGCGAAAGATTGGGACTAAATGTCACGAGAACGGAACCGGTAACGAGAATGATCCCACTTTAGCGAGACGGTACCGTACGTTATGCATGTAGTGTAAACCTGACATAATGATCTGAAATGGACTTCACATCATGAAAATATCCGAAACGAGCCCTCATCTCACATAATAATCCCTAAAGGTTCATTTGTGAAGTTTTCATTTTTACTGCACGCAAATGATGGGAGCATTGTCTTTCTGCATCAGGGTGAAGGAAATCTCGAAGCGAATCGATATATCTCTTACCATATTCCTAATGAACGGCTCACTGTTTCCCCACGTGTCTTTATGCTATCATATGTGAAGGAGGAATCAAACATTGAGCGTATGTATTGAAATGTTGCCCGAATAAACGAAACAATTCGTATTTGAAACAAATTCAAGCTGCTAACGCAATGTTAATACTGTGAGTATGTATTTGCGACCAAGTGAAAGTCTCAAACAGCATATATGGCGGTATGTTTTACTGTTAATTCACTCCAGTAAAGCGTCAAATTCACTCACGGTGCACATTATGAATAATAATAATAATAATAATAATAATAATAATAATAATAATAATAATAATAATCAGAATTTATATGAATTTTTGAAAATCACCGCTCAGATTTGGATGGGTTGTTAGTTCGGTTATTATTGGTTGATTGGTTGGGCTGTAAAAAACTGACAAGCAAGTTTGTTGATGACAACAGTGCACCCACCACGAGCCACGGTCATTTGCTGACGACATACCTACCTGCCTCCCCCTGATGCTGCTGCACAGCCGTCTGCAGTGTCCCCTGAGCAAATCCCTACCAAGCAGCCTCGAAGTCAGCCAAAGGTCAAACATATCTGACGGAGAGGGGTGGGGCACGAAAAAAATGCCAGCTACCTTTATATTTAAGGAAGACCTCTGTACCGCTACTTTTAAAATTCCGTCCGGATATTTCCGAAAAAGCATGAAACATCACCCGCGGCTTGTGGACGGAACACCGTAAATCGTTTCCATTAAAATGGCTTAAAACGTTTAATGGCATTTCCCAACATTAAAAGTGCCGTTGGTTACAACCGTAATGGCTGTTCAATCGTTCTGGATTTCCGAGTATTTAGGAAACGCGGCGTGAATGTGTCTTTTAATTATGGCAAATCTTATGGACAAGTTAGACATTGACAAGCTAAAAAACCGTCTGGAGCTTTAATAGTTAGCCTTAACTGCAAAATAGTACTAAAAAAAATACTAGTCTGCATTGCAAAATATCAGATTTCCTTACGCGTTTGCAATACGCAATTGACTTTCTTTTCTACTCAGTAATGGTTTTTATATTTGATTATGAAAAAAGTCAATGTCTAATTAATTACCAAGTCCTGCGTGAAATCGACATGGATAAAATCCGAGGACAGGCACCAACATGAATTTTATCAAATTCAGAATTTAACTTTTCATCCGGGGCTAAAATTAAATCGATGACTAGGCCTATGAAACACCATGGTCAATATCGGTCTTAGTAAATATTCAAGTAGTATTTGTTTCAGCTAATTAGTTACACTTTCCATCAAAATAACGACGTGCTGTCGGCCATTCATAATTCAAAAGCCACGTGTGGAAATATGCAGAAATGTGGTGAGTGTAAAATTGTAACAGCTATTTACAAGTAACGCTGATGGCTCCCTGTAGTATTTCACAATTTCAGTAATTACTACAATACACAATGTGTTTTGCCAGTTTATATTTTAATCTCATGTAAATGAGGGATTTCGGTTAATGGGCCTTTGTCACGTTTGTCATTGCAAACAATCCATCGTATTTATTTGAGGAAGCTGCAGTTTCCGAGAAATAGAAATGGTCGTCCTTTCAAGACGCCGACTTTGCTTACCTTAAAAATATTTTTCTATACAACATATTTATTTAGGCAATTGCCTGGTTTACTGAGGCAAACAGCCACAGCACTTGCGAACGATTTTCCTTTCAAAGCGTTTTCTTTGCTGACGAATACACGTAAATCGCTGTTTAAATGGACTAACTTTTTCTGTTACAGAAAAGAAATCCAATACGCCATATGCGTCGTTGAAAAGCTTATAGATTTATATGAGATACAAGTGAATACTTCCATCTTTTGTACAGCATTGCTTAAAGCGATTAACCGCAGATAGCAGACTATTTCATCCTGGATTGTTTACGCCTTTACACGATGGCGTTCGTGTCACCTGCTTAAAATACATCGTAAGAGGCCTGGCTAACAGTTCTTCACCTGTAACTGGCAAAGTGTGTCAAGGGAATACGCAAATGCAGTGGCGTAAACAAAAAGTCTCTATCGCCTGTCTCCACTGCCCTGGTTAAAAAAAAAACTGAGCAACATTCGCGTCGTGAGAGGTCCAAATCTGGTGGGCTATTGCGTAACACGGTGCAAAAATGTTTCCATGCAAACACGCACATCGTACTTGAAATCCACAAACCGCGAACTGCCAGCTATTAACAACGTTTAAACAAAGGCGTTTGCTTATGACCAAACTGCAGAAAACATACTGGCGAGAACGTAAAACAAAGCAAGCTTTGTTAGTTCCGTGTACACTTTCTAATACACAACACAACTAAAGAAAGGATCATGGTGAAAATACCGAGACAAAAACGACAAATCAGTTCATAAACACTTTCCATTGTTTCGCTACCGGTGTATATAAATGACCACAAACGGAGCGTTTCCCCAGTCGAATGAATGTGTTAAACAGAGCTGAACAATTCCCTGTCAATGTCATTCACACATTTCAAGACACAACAGCACTCGAATAATAATAATAATAATAATAATAATAATAATAATAATAGTAATAATAACTTCGAGAATCTGCGGTCCTTATTTCCTACATATGTAGCAGTTAAATTGAAACGCAACTGCAAATGGATTCCAGTTTCTGAGACATTTCCCTTCTGTTTTCACAGAGAGGCATAGAGATTACGAATCTCTTCAAAACTAATACTTCTTGTAAATTTCATTAATCCTGCAAGGTGGCGCCATCTGTCCAGTAACATTCCAAGAACAAACATCAAACAGCCCATTTTCCTTCTTGCATTGTATTTAAATCTGAATAAAATCGTAAAATAATATCGTTAAATGTCATTGCACATTTGCTTCCTTAGAAAATTTCTATTTTTAGGATTTTTAAATAAGATTTTCGGAACACACACGCTCCAGAACAAAGGCAGACTGCGTGCAGTACATGATATTGCTTATCGTTTTAATGCGTGCTTTTGTTATTTCTGAAGTTGTGTCAGTCTTGCAAGCTGTAAAGTTCACTCGTAAACTTCTTTTGCTCCTCGCGTACCGCCAGCGTTTACTCGGCTTATATGAGCGCTGTGGTCCATTGAAATGGTGTCTGACTAATGGGTCGGTCAAACTAACTGCAAGGGAACAAAGCTTAACATTTCTTGCAACTGTGTAGCTAAGTCTTGGTAGTGTCACAGACCCACCAAATCAAACAACGGGAATCGAATTTACTGCCTGGAAACAACAGTCACCGGTTATTGGATAGCAGCAATTCCATTTTTAAAACACCGACGCGTTTTGGCTTTGTTCGGACGCTTTTCTGGGCAAGATTTTCAAGGATAATAGCGATTAAATAAAATGTAGAAACATAGCAGAAAAAACTCGATTACCTTAATTGACAAATTAGACCCCGAATAACATCGGTATCCGCGGAAACGTTCGCCGTCGAGGTTTCTAGGTGGAAAATCAATAATGCGGTTTATTTCCCAGAAGAAATGCTTTGAAATATTCCGGTCTTCGGACACTTTTATCGACGAAACTCGGTAAAATGTGTATCTCTGTGGACACTTTATTTAATGATATTTGCATACCACACCAGAGGCCGCAGGATGTTTACCAATCCCCAAATTCTTCACGAAACTCTCCAGAGGATCTCGAACATGATTAAATCATACCGAGCCCTTCGTGGAAATAATGCTGAACGCCGTTTTTTTTAGTCTTTAATACTGTACGAAATGTAACCAAACATTGGTGAAAACTAAAATTTACATACGAACGCAATTTCCCATGAATACCGATCATTTCTAGTATGAGATGCCGGCCCTTTACATGCGATAAATATGGAAAATTAAGTTATATACATTTATTATTTTTTGCAATAGCCAAGGGAGTGAACAAATACTTATTTTATCAATGTTTACATAAACAGATTGACACGGAGTTTCAGGCTTTCACTATACGATTTATCGACATGACATTAAATAACAACAATTTACTGGGCTATTCAGACTTGACTTGGGACGAAATGGTTGCACTGTATACAAAGCACATTAAAACTAATAGTCGGTTAGCTCGACGAGTAGACTGTAGTAATACGGAGTCATTCACATTTGGTACACATTAACTATAACATTATGATCAGCCAACACTAAAATTCGCATAATTCTTTAAAACCGTTCAATTTTCCATAAATCTAGGGACCACATTTTCACACATTCCCTTAAAATGTGATATAAGTATTTACAAAATAAAATATTACATTTTTAATCTAGTAAATCTTTATGTACAAAATAGGCCGCGAGCCGGGGGTGTGTCATGCACTTCGAAATCCTTCGAGCAGTTCTTCAAAAAATCATTTTCAAAACTGGCAGTCAGCGTTTTCCCGAGTCCATGCATTGCTCATAATTCGCTTTAATGCCATTTTACAAAGATTTGGGCTTCTTCATTTTTTGCCTTTTCGGTCCACGTTTATGTATTTGATTAGTTTAAATTTGCTTCGGAACAGTCCTAGTCTGAAGTCTTTTTATATAGTATTTTACACGTACCATTCATTAAAATTTGATGACAGCGTGCTGTGACTGGTCGTGTGATGCACTGTCGATGATGCTGGCGATATGGAGCTGCCGCTCTGGTTCTCTGTCGATGGAGACACAATTGTTGGCGGCGTGGATGACTCGTACCCTGAGCTGGCCGCTGGCGACGGTTGTGATCCGTGTGTGGATTCGTGAACCTGCACAGAGACCGTCATCAGCATTTCTTTTATATTTGTGCTCCTGCAGCCTATGTTATCTGCTGTAAAATTTAAAACCTTTTTTTCCGGTTTCCTAAGTCTCCATCTCCATTACAGATGCACGCAAAATGAAACAGATGACCTGCAAATTACATTTTTATTTAACTTAAGTTATACGCACCCAAAAGTATGAAAACCCGTAATTGTTTGCGTTTTCCATTTATTAATATTTTTTAGGACTGCAGGCATAAAATGACATGAAGGAAAAAATCAATTATAATATAATAAAAAGACACGGAAGCTTTTATTTTACCTTCATATGTTTTCGGAGGGAGCTGGGATGCGTGTATGATTTGTCGCACATTTTGCAAAGATAGGGTTTGTCCGACGTGTGCACGTGCATGTGTTTCTTTCGGTCGCTGCTGTTTGCAAACCGCCTGTCGCAGCCCTCAAACTCACACTTAAATGGTTTTTCACCTGCCGCAGAAATAAACAACACAGTTTTAACACATTTAAAATCAGGGAAACATCCACAACCTCGCGGCACAAAATCTGTTTTTCGTGTACAGCACATTACATGCATTTTCGCTTTTTCAAAATTCATTAAAAAAATACTGAGCTTGTCATTTTTTTTATTTTTAATTCTATAAATACGCCGATTTGTCTGTTTCAAATAAAAATATTAATTTAAAAATATCACAAAATACTATTTAAAAAAAATGTAATATTACATACAACATACAATATAATAATTGAGGAGATATAATTTGGGAACACTTATTTTTCCACTAAAAATATATCGAATTAATTGTGCCTTTTTCAATGCAGCAATACACAACAGCGATAAACATCTAATAGAGAAAAAATGTGTGCTACAGAAAGTCGCGCGTGATTCTTACCCGTGTGCGTCCTTTTGTGGATTTTCAGGTTTTCCGATCGGGCAAACACTTTTCCACAGCCGGGGAAAGGGCACGGGAACGGTTTCTCTCCGGTGTGTACTCTGATATGGTTCACAAGTTTGTACTTGGCTTTAAAGGGCTTTCCTTCACGGGCGCATTCTTCCCAAAAGCAGATATGGTTCGACTGCTCCGGCCCTCCAACATGCTCCACTGTGAGGTGGGTGACCAGCTCGTGCATCGTGCTAAAAGTTTTGTTGCAAGACTTTTTTGGATTCGATAGCTGCTCCGGCTCAATCCATTTGCAAATGAGCTCTTGTTTTATCGGTTGTCTCATATATCGAAAGAAGGCCCCAGCTCCGTGGTGTGCAGCCATATTCATGTTCATGGGGCCGTAGCCGTGCAGCTGGGTCGAAGCATAGTGGTCGGACCTGGGGCTCGTTACGTGACCATACTGCTCTGCTCTGCCGTACATTTCCCCGGAAAAGCCCAGGCGCATCTGGCTGTTCACGACGTTGGATGTCGCGTGAGTGGCCGCCTGCTCGTGAAGTCCCTGGAAAAGGAGATGTCCCGCGGCATCCGAGTGCCCGTGCGGCCCCGCGAAACCGCCTGCAGCAGTAGCAAAGAGGCTGTGCTGAGCGCTCGCCGCATCCCCGAAGCCCCGATTTCGAAACAGAAAGTCCCGGGTGGAGTTGAACGCCGCCGTAGAGTATGAACTGACATGGGCGGGGTGGTGGTGATGTCCCAGAGCGGCAGCCGCATATCCCGAAGCCTGCGAGGTGAATGCCGTCTGTCCAGACCCTAAATCGTGGGTACTGTGGTTGATCTTGAAAGCACCCATCCCCTCGGCAAACGGATTTATCCCCAAAGCCACTTCTCTGTCGGTGACTTCGCTTGTTGAGTGATGTCTGGAAGAACCGAAGGTAGTCACTCCTATCGTAGGATACTGTGGTCCGGCGTCCAAGAGCATCTTCACTCAGTTTCTGAAACGGCTGCGAGAATAAAAAAAAAAATCAAAACTACCCACAAATTTTCTCACCACAGCTTTTGCTTGGGAAACTGCGTGGTTTAACTCAGTCTGCGTTCTACTAACGACAATCCTAAAATTTTCTATGTATCTTTTAGTGGAAAAGGAATTTTACCCACTCCTTCTCCTCAACTGCAAACGCAAATCATGTACAATATTGTCTTTTGCGGTTTATCTTCCTGTGGCGAAACTTTCACCTCCTCAGCCAGGCGGTAAGCTCCAGACTGATAGTCGCAATCATTCCTGCAGATAAATGAATTGAAAGGATAACACCGTCCACCCTTGATGAATGGGGAAGGAGGGGAGGCATCACGTGAGTCCGTGCCTGGGTGCTCATTCGAGAGCGCCTTCTCCCCCTGCTTACACACGCTCGCCGAATAACAGTTTTCAAGGCTCAGGCTTTGGCCCTATTGGTCAATTCCCATCATCAATCTCAGGTATTGTACGCTTGTTGACTATGCCTGTGCTTTATAGAGAGCAGAGCGGTAAGAAAAGTTGACAAACGTGAGCAGTTAATACACATAAAACTCTTCTAAAACAATGCCCTCGGTTTTTTTCTGTCAATTTTTTTTTTTTTTTTGCTAAATTCTTGTTTTAGCAAATACCACAGGAAAATGTCCTGCTTCCAATCAATCATCCTACCCAAGAGAAGATTATTTTGAGCAGAAAAGCGAATAGGTAATTATGCAGTGTGCACTTTCTTATTTTCGCAGTCTAGGCCCACCGCTATTGTATTCCGCGTGGCCACCTTCCGAACCTTCCGCGTGGCCACCTTCCGAAGACCGTTGAGTTGGAATTGTATCATCGGTTTGACGACTGAAACAATAAAGAATACGGCAGAAAACCCCAGTGTCTACCCATGACTAATCGTTTAACGACCCCAAAATTGAAATTGGATTGAGTTCAAGGAGTAATATTAACGTAGTGTTCACTACAACAAAATAATAACAAAAAACATATCCAGATATTTTAATACGTACGTAAGCATTATAGTGCATTGTATAAAAATATTAGCAGTATCGTGTTTGTCATTAAATACAAAAACATCATGTTCAAAACAACACCTGTGTTACCGAATTCCTTTATTTTTTCAAATTGAGTTAGCCTACTTTGTGCGCCATTATAGCAAAATGCTTGTTGGTCTTTAACTGGAACTCTGGGGGAAAGTCGCATTTTTATTCCAGCTCGGTACAATTCACGTGACCCACGTGTTTTCTTCCCAAGCCGCAGAAACATTTTCACCTACTTAATTAGCTCGTCAGTAAAAACGTGATGTTTAAAATTAATTTTATAAGTTGCTAACTTAAACACGTGAATGTGATTTGCATAGGAATCTACACATACGTAAAGTAGTTTTGTCTTACAGGATGTGGTCTGTTTGTGCAGACACAACCCGTTAAAACAAAACAAAACAAAAAAAAACTAACGTGAGACTAGGACATACATTATTTAATGCTGATTAATAATTTACGGTCTAAAGCATTTATGCAGGTTTATACGCCCCAATAGCCTTTACTGTAATAGATGTCAAACTAGTTTGACTAGAGGTTTACGCTGCTTTTTAAGGCATGACTTAAACCCGTAGTCTGTGGTTAGTGAATATTTTTACAGCGAGTTAAAATGCGTTGCAATTACAAGTACAAAAGTTGTGGGCTGTTGAAGTTATCAAGTGGGATTTGCGTCGCCCTTCAGGAAACCGACTGCTTGAGTTCAAAGCCGCACGCACTGACGTGCAGTACAAGCCATTAAAATATCCTGACTGTTCCAGCCTGCCACATGCATTCTCAAACTGATTCCAGACAGAAAGAAGTGAAGAAATAGAGGATCGTGGTTTTTGTCTTTATAGTTATAACGCCAGTTTACGCCTGTGAGAAAAAATCCGGAAGACGTCTTCAACAGGTGTAAAACGGTAAGGCAAACACGTGTGTTGCAGTGACTGTGGAACCTTCATGTTCTTTTTGGGAAAAGAAAATAGGGTGTTATAACAGGGGGAATAGTTTTGGGGAGGTCAGGAAAAGTGACTAGATTAGCAATCTGCTTTCCAGGGTTTCTGGCTACAGTAGTGCGTTTCCATTGAATAGGGACATATACGTCATAAATTTTAGAATGAATCAAATATTTATCCGAACTTATCGATGCGTTTTCATTATTTTTTGCACAATTTTTTATGCATAAAGTTTTAAATATTTTTGGAGTTCGAAAATTATATTACCACTGCTATGTCAAGTTGCGTTGTTTTTTTTTTTAGCAAATGTAGTAGGTGCAATTTCTTTTTCAATCGTACTAAAAACAACGCTTTATGCTTCACTGGAAGCGCATGGAAGACTTTCTGTGCAGTTGCCTACTAGGTTAACGATTACGCACATTTCAGTCAGCATTCACTTACCGGTGTGTTGACGCGGCATTGTCACCAAAGCCGTATGACAGGGAGTTCAGCTGAAAGAAAGACATTTGATGCTTGTTTAGACGAAGTAAAATACTATAGGGAAGTCTTACTTTTCTGCAGAAAATATTTATTCAGTGTGTTGCACACAAGATATTAAATTGTTTATTAACAATAATTCGTGAGACGGATCCCAGTACTAACCACAATGTATGGTATTCAGTCCAGGGTAATGGAATTTTGAGTTTTGAACTTAAATCTGCTATTTTGTTTGAGAGTTTGTTAGTAACTCTAAGAAATATACTTGCCGCAGAATGAACTCAAATTGATCAGATTACCTGCCTGGGTTTATTTTCCATTTCGTATGTCTTAGATAATCTGCCACATTAATCACTCACTCACACACGAGCGCGCGCGCGCGCACACACACACACACACACACACACATGCACGTTTTATTCATATCTTTGTGGGGACTCTGCATTCATTTCTATGGGAAAAACTCTAATCCCAACAATGTCAACTTTAACTCCTACCCAGCCCTAACCTTAATCATAAGTAACCAAGAAAAATACAAGACTTTTTGTATTTTTAGTTTTTAAATTGCAGTTACAGTTTTTTTATAAATAAGATTGGGTTTCCCTTGTGGGGACCGAAAAGGTGGTCCCCACACCGTCTAAATGACAGGATTTTAATCACATCATGGGGTCATTTGGTCCCCACAATGTAATATTGTACATGACCCCCCCACACACACAAATACACGCACACACAAACTACCACGAAGTTTTAACTCTTCAGACACGCTGCAGAACTTTACAGAACTGTAGTTTAATCAACATAAAATTTGCTTATGCCACTGTTATAAAATTCCACTTAGAATACGAAAGAGACGTGGTAATGCTTCATTTGAATTTAAAAGGTTATAATTGAAAGTTTACAATTAAATAACTTGGGAAAATCGAACATATATCTTGTAAACTGCCGGCAAATCGATACACTATTTTCAAATGACATCCAAAGGACATACGATAACATAGCAGTTTTGTAACGTAATAAAGTAATAAAGAGCGTCAGGAAGTAAAATAACTGCCTGATTTTTTTTTTAATTTGTCAATGGGGATTACATTTCTCTGCCCTACATATGATCAAACTCTGACAACTTCACTTTATGACCTTTGAATGAACGGTTTCTCTTTGGTTTACTTAACATAGCCATTCTTGTTTGTCTCCAGGCAATTAGAATTAAATTTTGATGGCACTGGAGAAACGGTAAGACCATTTTATTAATATCGCAAAAATATTCATCACATTTTCAGTACCTCACACGATTCGTGATGATTTTCTGATGTGTTTCATGTATAGGCCTGTTTATTTAGAGGATTCTGATAATAGCGGGAACATCATTCACATTCTGATAATAGCGGTAACATGATTAACGGAATGCGGAGTGTTCACGGAATTAGGCAAGATATGTGGAATGTCGGTGAGTAATTACATACTGAAGAGATGTCCATAAATCGGAAAATACTCATCTCTTTATATGTCTCCACTTCGAAATTAATGTCACATACCGATTTATATTCGGATTATATATCGATGTTTAATCTTTAATGGTGAAGCAATTTGGATCGAGATACGACGTTAACCTGGGTTAACCACTGTAATTGACATTAACCCTTCAGAAATTGTTGCAGTAAATCCAACATACTTTTATTGTTTAAAAAAAGCAGTGCAAACATTTGTTTTATCGCCTGCATTCGCGTGCTGACTGCTTATTATGTTATCCGAGGATAACTATATTTCTAATTATTTTAAGTGATGGGTTTTTAATCATATATTTGCTGCTTTTTAATGATGCAAATAGGTGTTTAGAAGGACACAATGTGTTTTACACCGGAACGAAATGCGAATGGAATAGAAAAACGGATCAGACGCGCCATCGAAGCTTAAACGAACTTTATGACGTGGAGATCTTGAAGTCTGTTAACATTTGTTTTGTAGATCTGTGACTAATTATACATTTGTCAGTAATGAATATAGCTCTAAATTAACCCCCTATTTTGCCCAAATGCTGTGTTAATATCAGAAAAGTTGGTCAATGTTTATCATTCTATTCGGTAATTTCGACATGCGATTTCCCTGTTCACTTACTCTTTGATTAGCCACTTCCTCTTGCACCTTTGATCCAATCCAACCCGGCCCCAGATCACTACAAAACTCGGAAACAGATTCACCTCTAGTCTTAAGTACATCACCTTTACATTTCTTCTTCTAAGAGGGATATGCAGTCTTAGCGCTGTTGATAAATACAGAGAAATAAAACCCATCTCGAAGTTTTAAAAAACAACGCAGAAGTTAGGAAGAGGAGGGAACAGGGTGGGATGGTATGGGAAGGGCAGTTTTGGGGGAGGTCTTACAAAAGCCCGATTTCTTATGACAATCATACCATTTCATAATTATTTGTCTGAACAGTGGAAAAGCGAAATCATTTTATATAATTTTCTTATAATTTGTTTATCCGGCACAATTATTATAGTTGATGACGCACGTACGTAAGAGAGTTTTGCCATCTGATTTTGAAAAGAGAACGTACCTTGTGTTCAAAAAGTTTTGCACTGGGGTTCTTTCGATGAGAAATAAAACTTTTGAGCAGGAAACCTACGCACAACAACAGCGGAAAGTCATTTTTGCCGTCAGCTGAACGAGATTCGGCGCAGGCGCTTTGGATGTCGCTGTCACCAAAACGTTTCCCTTCACACTGGAAACTGTCACAAGTGACGTCAATCATTGTGCCCCGACCAATTAAAACGCTTGGCGATTGTTTAGCTCCACGGGCTGCAGCGCCTACCACGAATCTCTTTTCAGTGTACCAAAGCGTCCCGCTGCCTCCTCTCAGCCGAATGGGATTACATGCAGGCACCGAGATAAAATCAAAACTTCACAAAGTTTTATTTTTTGTTACATTTTTATTACGATTAAAATACATTTGTCATCATCATTATTATTTTGCCCGCTGTCAAGTTATTTTAAAATTAGGCGTAATGAGCGTGGATGCTCCGGGATGCCCAATGATGGACCCCGCGTTTTCCAAACGGAACACGGCGCTGAGATTAGTTGACTTGGCAGGGGCTCACCACCATCACCATCATCACCACCATACCCCTCAGTGCGTGACAGGCTTCCCGGGGCTCAACAGCTATGCACACTCAATGGCTCACACGCACCCTGGGGAGATTACTACAGAACCCTGCCTGGGGCCGAGTCCATTCGGGCCAGAACACATGGGGTACACCGCGGCCCTCAAAATCAGCCCAGCCCATCATTATCCCCACCACCATCACCACTACAATCATCATATGGCAGGCCACAGCGAAGTGGTCTCCAGTCAAACGGGAGCCTTCGGTCCGGCGCAGCCTGCGGCACTCCCATACTCAAAGTCCTGTACGACCCACGTGCTGTCGGCAGGTAGGGACTTCCTATTTGGAAGAGATCTGAAAGCGCAAGGCATTCCGGGTGTCGCCGACCACACGACCGGTGCAGCTTCTCACCACGGAATGTTTGTTTCAACAACAGGTAGCTATCCTGGGCACTATGGTCATCACCCCGACGCCGCAACTCATACACTGTTCGCCGGACTCCATCACGAACAAGCACCTAACGGGGCTCCAGGTGGCCAGACACTCAATGGACAATTAAGGTTAGGAATACCTGGAGAAATGTACGTTAGGTCTGGTCACTTGGCAGTTTCAAGTCAAGTGGCAGTTTCAAGGGCTGATCCGTTTGCTACTTCACCGTTGCATAGTTACAGCGGTATAAATCTCAACATGAACGTAAGCGCACACCACGGACCTGGTGCCTTTTTCCGTTACATGAGGCAGCCGATCAAACAAGAACTAATCTGCAAGTGGATGGAGCCGGAGCACGCTGCAAAAAAACTTTGCTCTAAAACGTACAGCACCATGCACGAGCTGGTTACGCACGTTACGGTGGAGCACGTTGGTGGACCGGAGCAAGCGAATCATATCTGCTTTTGGGAAGAGTGTCCCCGCGAAGGGAAATCTTTTAAAGCCAAATACAAACTTGTGAACCATATCAGAGTACACACCGGCGAGAAGCCCTTTCCATGCCCATTCCCAGGCTGCGGCAAAGTATTTGCAAGGTCTGAAAATCTTAAGATCCACAAAAGGACACACACAGGTTAGTGATTTTATTCGCATTGTATAAATATTGTACTTGCATAACTGTTATAGGCAATTTGACTTTCATTTAAAAAATGTCGATCTGTTTAAGAGTAATACAGTACAAGGTCCGTGTTGGTGTTCCACTGAATTATAACTGCGTGTAGTCCAAGATGACTCTACGTATTCAATAGGGAAGGCTATAGGCAATACAGAAAGGCCTGAAAAACAGCAAATGTTTCAGGGCCAACTCTGACATTAATATAGCCTACTTTACCAGTGTCTCTACACTAAAATCGGCATTACGACGCCGCACATATTTTCGTCTGTTTGCCAAACCTTTGATACCTAATCTTGTAGTTTTGCAACTATCGCTAAATAACCACCCAATATTACTAGATTATTTTGTTGACGCATTCATGCCTGTGCATATGAATTTAATTCTTGAAAGTACAGAGGTATAAAAGATATAAAATCAGCTTCCTTAAATGCTGCCGGTGTAGCCATGATCATTTGATGTGTTCTGCGTGCAGTTTGTTTCTTGTATTCATATGAGAAACGTGGGCCTATGAAGCTGATTGAGAAACAATTAAGGGAAGATTATTGTGTCAGCGATTTACTTTCTTCGGATATGATGACGGAATGTAACGAGTGATTTTTAGCCACCGTCTAATTCCAAGTGAATAATTACTAGCTAGATGCATTAAGACATTCTTCCCTTTCTACAAAGATTTGGACGAGGCATATATACCTAAGTATATAGGAAGTGTTTGAAGATGTGACCAGGATTTTTTTAAAGAGTAGATACGATACCGCAGGTATTTAAGCTGCATGTGCAAAACGATTATACTCTTTATACTGTTCTCCTTAATAGCTGTTTTGTTTTTGTTTGGATTACTGTTATTGTACTACCTGTAAATGCGATAACAGATAACAGTAACGTCAGCATAACATTACATAATAGTATTGTTATTGCTTTTGAAACTTTTTCTTCAAACTGCGGAGCTATAATAGTAATGACGCCGAACTTTTGTGTAAAAATGGGATTTCACGCAACAAGTCGACACAGGCATACCACAGATAGGGGGAGCTCTGATAGGTGGGGGCGCACCTGGCGTCTCGCTTCTATCTGCAGTATACGGGACGCTTAACATACGGTTTTATTTTTCGCATGTAAAAATTAATGAAGGAGATGCGATCAAATCGCGCTTCCCGACGTAATAGCCGCACTATAAATCCCATTTCAGCTTTATAAAACCTGGCTTGAAAAAAAAATGGACATGTCACTTTATACAATGTTTAGGGAATTTATATATATATATATATATATATATATATTTATATATAATAGCTTGAATGCAGTGTGCAGGAAGTGGGCGAACTCTTCGTGTTCGTCTTTAGTGCATTGGATACCGGGTAAAATTTTCGTGTTCTGGGCTTTCCCTGTGGCTCCCTGGAACCAGCGGCGGCTCATTGTCCACTCATATCATTGATTGGGCGCCTACAGCCAGAACCCCAAGGCCAAGCTGTGCTTCGGTTTGCAGTTACCAAGAAGACTTGTGGCGTTTTAACATGTCCATAAGCCTTAGGAAATACATGCTACATTTGTATTAATAATGCAGAAGACCATACATAAAACACTTAAATACGTAAATAAGACGTAAGTGTAACATGCAGAAGTTATTTATACTTTCATTAATTGAAGGTAACCCATTTTGTGTACACTTCTTGTAAAATAATTACAATCGCATCACATCACGGCTCCATAATTATATTTGGATAATTCCATCCTTTCACCTGGCGTAGAAAATAGTATGTTTAATTATCAGGGTGAAAAATATATAGAATGGCAACTGGGGACTAAAATTTAAGGGAAGGAAAAGAAAAAAGTCACGGAATAAGTATGTAGAAGCTATTAATATAATTATGTAACCGCTGTTTGTTTATTTGGTTGTTAATTTAAATCGGAATATTCCCGTGGCCTTGTTGAGCATATTAATTAGCTAGTGTAAATCTTTTTGATCTGTTCACGTCATCATAAAAATAATATTCACGTGTATTGTGTGTATTCTTGTTTTAGGTGAGAAGCCTTTTAAATGCGAGTTCGATGGATGCGATAGACGTTTTGCTAACAGCAGTGACCGAAAGAAGCACTCGCACGTGCACACCAGCGATAAGCCCTACAACTGTAAAGTGAGGGGCTGTGACAAATCCTACACGCACCCGAGCTCCCTGAGAAAACACATGAAAGTGCACTGCAAGTCTCCACCTCCAAGTTCGGGCTACGAATCTTCGACTACTTCGCTAGTTTCTCCTTCGTCGGACTTCGGTAGAGAACCAGGCTCCTCTACTCTCTCTGAACCTCTATCTTCTTCACAAGCGGCCAATTTAAGTGAGTGGTATGTTTGTCACAGTTCGGGAGCGAGCGGTACCCAGACCCCTCCCAGCAACTCGTCGTCGCCAGACCCAGATGATGGCCCTCCTTACGGAAATCCCGAGCCAAGTGAAGCGTTGTAGTCCCTGGGAAATCGCTCAATATTTCACTGAAAGAAATATCAATGAACCGCTAAGGTTTCATTTCAAGGTAGCCTACGTATGTAATACACTGCACCGGTACGTAAACAAACAATGCACACCTACAGAATTGTGGAACTGTTGTTTATTACTTGGCCGAAAATAAAATAGTATGCCTTAATCAAGACATATTATATAATATGCCTTATGATTTTGCTCTGAATAAGCATGTTTCTGAATTTTATGTACATTGTTTTTCGGTATCACCTTAATTTATTTATAAACTTGATATGAACATTTTGTATTATTGAACCAAAGTGTTGAAATTCAGATTGCTGTATATTTGTAAAAAGGTAATGTTTTCACGTGCAGGTGTTGATAGAAGGTTGTTCAATTTAGTATTTGGAGAAAATATTTTTATCGTTTGCTACCGGTTTGTATATTCATAGTAAAACATTCGAAATTAAAGTTTCATAAAATTCTGTCAATTGGCAAGACCTCCATTTTGTCAGTGGTATAGTTCGTAGTGTGAATACATTCTCTGTTATCACAGTTGGTGTGGAATTTGTGATTTTGTAAGTCACTTGTTTATAATACATTTTACCATGGGCATTTAGATTATTTAAGAGAATCCTTGGAATGTGTACCAAACTGCCTTGTATTTTGTCCGTATTTTGAATAAATCGTGTATGATTGTATTGTTTAAACCAAAAAAGCTGTCTTAATGAAAAAAATCCTGCTGGGAGTAATCGAAACGACCTAATCATATCGTTTTACAACTAAAAAGCAAGACTTCTCATGTTAATATCAATGATATCCATCCAAGTCATTTTTAAATCTTTTTAGTTGCAGTTTAATAATTGCATATAGATAACACGTGAAACAATGTAACAACGAAATCTGTTCTTAAAGACTTCAGAAAGAGATATACAATGCATTAGTCGTTGAAATAAGGTTGCGCTAATACTCTCAAGAGAAATCTGCAACAATGAATAAGCACTGTAAACTAATATTATGCTCTTCATCAGAATCAGCAGAATTAATTAGACTAAGACTGCGTTCTCTTTTTATATATTTCCAGTTTTTACATATGCACATGTGTAAAATGGGTTTTTAAAAGGCCCCGTTTCTTTTCAGAGAACTTCCCACATTCTCTCAAGGTAATCTGTGCAGAGACGGATAAAAGGCTTAAATATTCTCATGTAGACTTCAAAGATTATTTTATACAAAGAACTATTTTCCCCACATCGGTGAATCTTCATGGTGCGTTAAGATTTCAATAGCAATAGGCGAGTCAAACTCAAATAATAAGCGATTGAGCCTGAAAACAGCGACGCGTTCTCAAAGAAATATCTTATGTTATACTTCCATGCAAATATGTGTTTTTTTGTTGAAAATTCTGACCGATATATTTCTACGTCACTATAAATAAGTTCTGTCGAGGTGATAAAAAGTACGGTGTGAATGTTACAAAGGCCCGTAAGATTTGTTTGGCCTCTGTGTTTAAATCAACATAAGAAAAAATCAATTGGGAAAAAAAACAGGTGAGACGATATGAAAAATAACCGGACAAAAATTCGTTGAGGGAGACACAGTTAATTCTACAGTCCCAATGTGCCATGTGGGCCAAGAAAACACTGTATAAAAATTTCTGTACATATACGTATGAGTTTTGTCTAGCTGGGCGTTATTCTGGTAAGTACTTTCAGGAATATATTAAATCTAGACTGATTCAGCCTCGATTACCATAAGAATGCCTGTCCATCTTCTATTCGCATACATGAATATTTTTTATAATTAAACATTTAATTGTAATTCATGATTTATATTTTTAATCATTGTTGAACGCGACACTTCGTATTCTTTATTTTGAGAGACAAAGGGGATTGATACGTCCCGGCGCCTGTGGATGGCTGCCTTGGGCTCTGATGCGTTTTGAGTTTGTCTTTATGTAATTGCCTTGTTGTTTACTCTGTCCAAGTGTCCTAATGAATAGGAAAAAAATAAACAACGCAAAAATAACCAACCAGCTGATTCCTCTTCAGTGCTGGTCCTTGTGCACGAATGAAATGGATACCTCGGTCTCAATTGAAGTGAGGCGCCTTTGAAGGGGAGGCCTCTGTCTGAGGGATTCTTGCGTGTTGTCTAAACGACGCTGATGACACGGAAAGCGGGCTTTGTCACCGATTTGTTCTCTTCCTCTTTGTTGAGATGTCCTCTGCTGCCGTTACAAAAAGGATGAAAGCGGATCGAAAAACAGGAAAATAAATAAGTAACCAGATAGATGTCTAACACAGTATTCTCAAATGTGAATTTATATAATGACTATTAAACGCCGTTTCTCACATTTATATATATATATATATATATATATATATATATATATATATATA